GTAGTCTAACATTAGCTAGATCAGTTAATAATTATGCATTTTGCAAACAATAATATCCACAATATGCTAAACTATAAATCAAAACACTGCATTATGATTTAGTCTGACAAACAGACCTCATTTGAGGACCCTATTAATTTAAGCAAAATCTCAAAAGTGATTCATTCATAAATTGGTTGATTCTTCATGGTAACTCTATCTTAGCTGAAATGGAATTTGTAATTTCTAGACAACACAACAGCCAAGGCAATGCAAGGAAAAAGGTCAAAAGAAGGACCTGGAGGTGATTATCATTTTTTCACCATGGCTCCCCAGGAAGTCATATATAAAACATACTGCTTGTAAATAAGGGATAGAGGATAACATGCTCTTGGATTTCAGATAGCTAATGAATAGGAGTATGCAGATGTGTTGGTCTAATTTGAACAGATATCTGAATTGGAAAATTACTGAATTATTGAATTATTGAAATGAGTCAAGTTCAAGGTGATCTTTGAAAGAGACTTTTGCACATGCACAAAAGCCAATTCAACTGTCTAAAACAACTCAAAAGAACCTCTTTGATTCCGGATCACAGCTTCAACTTACTTCATTACTTCCAGAAAGTTAGTTTGATTTGGAGATTTTATTAAATGTTATTCAAAATGAAATCAAAACTTTGCACAGTCTTGCCAGAGAAGGAAAGCAAAATAAGGATTCTGTCCATAGTTGAATTAGGCATGGGGGAGTGAATGCTTCCTTTGGTTTCAGTGAAATCCATGAACCTTATGCCATCAGTTCTGTAGTCCATTAAATCATCACTTAGTGGGATTGGTCAATCTCTGCCAATTCCCTTTGTGTCTCCTGCCATCATGACAAGAGATGCATGGGGAAGAAACCTGGTCCCTCTTTCCTTCCTTCACTCTACATTTCTAGGAAAGTGGGTGAATGAATGAGTGTGTATGTGTGTGTGTGTGTGTGTGTGTGTGTGAGAGAGAGAGAGAGAGAGAGAGAGAGAGAGAGAGAGAGAGAGAGCGAGAGAGAGAGAGAGAGAGAGAGAGAGAGTCCAATGGTTTTTGAAAAATTCTTTGTACAGCACACATGCCAATAATGCTCATGGAGCATATCCTGTACACCTTTACCACAGGGAATGGCATTAGTTCTTCAGCTAGCACTTTGAGGATTAATGTCTTTTTGATGCTGAGAGAACTGATACAGAAGAAGCCACTTTTCCTCCTTCTTTATGCAACCTATGGGTTGTAAGAGAAATAGAGGAAGAGTGAAGCCGAGGAAAATAGTTTCTTTGGTGCTAGTTCCCAATACTACAGAGTGCTCTGCTATCCCAATAAAATTATCTTTCCCAATGGATTAGGCATTGGTTAGAAATGGCTTTGCACACTTGCTCATCAGTCTTAAGGAACTCATGGTGGAACATATCAAAAACTATACCATACATACTGCACTATTGTGTCTGCTAGTTGGTTGGTTTTATCTGAGGGAGAGGGATGGTTAAAATACCCCCTCCCCCTTACTTTCCTGATACCATTCTATTTTCTGTTTCTGTTTTCAACTCATTCCACATATTTCTGTTGCTATTCCTCCAAGAAGAATGCAAGAGAAATAGAAGAAATGCTCTTTGGGGGACAACCTCTCTCTCCCATTGCCAAAGGTGACTGGCCCTGAACAGCCAGTGACTGAGGAGCAAGACTGATGCTCACAATAGGCCTTAGATAACCAAAAGGAACAGGGAGGCCTTTGCCTCTAACCTAACCTTGATAAAATGTGCAGCACATGAGTGCCAACACAACTTTTGCTGAAAGAAAGAAGCTATAAATGCTGCTTCATAAGTGAGCAAGAAAGCATGATCAATGCTCAAAGCTTTTAAGTCTTTGGGAAACTGTGGAGGTGTGGTTCTAAAGAGGAAGGGAAGGAGCTGGGTTTTTGCTGGACCTAGCAAATAGTTCTTTCCAACATTAAAAATGATTGCACTAATCCTATTCACAAAAGAATACAAGTTTAAGTTTATTTTGCCTATCTAGATGGAACTTTTCAAGATCCAACTATTATATATTATATACAGAAAGGATCTTGCTATATCTGCTATGCAAGAGATTGCCAAGAAAAGGAACTTTAAATCAGCATCATAATTCAGCATCGGGCTAAATATACAAAGGACAATGAACACTTACGTAACTATATGTAAGATTGATGCTTCTCCTCTTCATTTCTTCCACATCCTCTTTGATGTTTTCTTTGGAAGAAAATTTCTATGCATCTCTCCTCTTAAGAAGCCCATTTGCTGCTCAAATGCTTCACCTTGTAATCACAATAATTTAACTGTTGGGGAAGTGAATCCTCCTAATGTCTCTAGCAAGTATATAGCAATATATGAAATGCTTAATTGGAGAATTTGCATATTTTCCTTGTTAGACATGTCAGCAGTTCTCAGTGAAATGCAATGGATTTCGGGAAACTGACAATCACTTCCAGTCCAAAATAGATGTTTGTTCATGGGAATAAAAATCCTAGATGATCATTAATGCAAATAATCCAGCTCCTGGCTTCTAAATATAGGTGTGTGTGTGTGTGTGTGTGTGTGTGTGTGTGTGTGTGTGTGTGAGAGAGAGAGAGAGAGAGAGAGAGAGAGAGAATATCAATAGCACTTAGAGCAGTGATGGCAAACCTTTTAAAGACTGAGTGCCCAAACTGCAACCAAAACCCACTTATGCATCGTCGAGTGCTGGGTGGGTGTGGCCCATTGGGTGGGTGTGGCCCATTGGGTGGGCGTCACTGCAATGGTAACAGCAGACCGGGTGGGACTAAAAAATTCAATCAATCAATTCCAACTTTGCAAGATCTTTTTTTTTCCTGCAAGAAGTTGAAATTGATTAATTGAACCTTTTTTTTTTTGCACATGGCGGTGGAGACCTAAAGCAAAAAGGTTTTATAAAACCCAGCTGAAGGCATAGGACTGGGGCAATGGTGCACGTGCCCACAGACAGGGCTCTGAGTGCCACCTCTGGCACCTGTGCCATAGGTTCGCCACCACTGACTTAAAGTTACACGCCACTTCACAATGCTTTACAGCCCTGTCTAAGCAGTTTAGAGAGTCAATCTGGGTCCTCATTTTACCTGAAAGGCTAAGTCAACCTTGAGCCAGTGAGACTTGAACTGCCGAACTGCTGGCTGTCGGCAATCAGCAGAATTTACCTGAAATACTGCATTGTAACCACTGTGCCACCAAGGCAATCCCACTGATGGCAAGAGAGTCAAGAAATTATGCAGCTGACGTGAGATGGGAAGGAAAACAAACTAATTCTCAAAAGATTTTATTTTGGTTTTAGTTGAGGAAATAAATGCATATGAATTATATTTCTCACATGGAAATTTACCAATAGTTTCGGCACCATGAAAAGTTACTGAAACTTCAGGACAAGAAGGTTGATACTATAGGAGCTTTGCCAGGGAGCAGAGATGTCCTATTGATCATTTCTCAGGGAAAGGAAAGCAAAATTTCCTGCTCAACCTGCCCTAGCAAACTCAGCCTTTGACTGATTGTTCTTGCTCCACTTCAAAAATAGTGCCTCCAGGTTCTTGCAACAAAAGCCACAAGTTCTGCTCCATCTGAAATGCATCCTAGCAAGTAAAGGCTGGCTATAAGAATCTAATCTGATCCTCTTGGCCATCTGAAGTTGTTGTGAGCACATCATGCATTTGGTTTTTGCTCATTGGTTTTCAGAGTTACTTCCCTTTTTGGCAGCAGGGATCCCAGGGCTATTCCCATAGGCCCCAAATTTATCCTTTGGAGGACAGGGAAGCCTTTAATAGATTACCTGACATGTTCCAACCATGGCTTAAAACTTAAAGCACCTAAGATGTGGAAGATGATACAGTAGAAGGGACCGCTATATTCTGGGGCTGGGCCCCATAAAGCTGTCCATGACTTTACCCCAGGAGTGCCATCTGTTTTTCATTTCCACATGGCCATAATCTCCCTTCTGCTTTTTTGGGTAGAAATATGGTCACTAGTACTTTTTTTTAAGTCAGCATACTTTTCTGCTAAGTCCTGTGGTGCCTAATAAGTCCTTTGCTGTTGCTATCAAGAACCTGCTGTTGCTATCAAGAACCTTCCTAGGTTGAACAATTGCAAAGATGGGACTGTGAAACAGTTATTGTAGAATTCATATCAGCAAGCTTTGAATCCATTTATTTGGAAGACAACTGAGACCAAGGGCTTTTTTGCTAGGATACATGCTAAAATATAACTGGGGAAAGAGGGCCCAGAAAAATATACTTTTTCACCAGACTTCATAGCTAGCAATGTCAATTTTAAGTACCATGTTTACCCGAAAATAAGACCGGGTCCCTTTTTTTTTTGCCTCCAAAAGAGGCAGGTCTTATTTTAGGGGGATGTCTTTTATACTCACCTCCAATACTGACATGTCCGCCCAGTTGGTCCACTTCTTCTGGCTGAAGGAGTTGCTTCATTCTGCAGCTGCATTTTGGCCTGCATTTTGCGGAAGGCCACTGCAACCGATTCAATCTATAGCTCGATTCTCGGCTGCAGAGGTCTTGCAGAAAGGCCTATGACTGAGAAATACAGGCCTGGCTGCAGAAGACGCCTCAGAAGAAGTGGGCCGTCGAGGAGAAGCCTGGTTGTCAGGTAAGTGGGGGGCAGCTCTACACCCCCATCCCTACCCTAGGTTGATTTTAGTCCTCACCCCAAAATTAGGGCTTATTTTTGGGGTAGGGCTTATATTAGGTCCACCCCAAAAATCAAGCTAGGGCTTATTTTCAGGGTAGGCCTTACTTTTGGGAAAACACAGTAGATAATATTTTGAACAATGTTCAAAACTTAAACAATTTTAATTCCCTGGCCATTTAATCAGATTATTCACCATCCTTTTTTAAAAATACTATTCCTTCACATATTAAGAGAAGGAGAAAGGGACCTGTTCTCCAAACTGAAATAAACATAAATTTGACAAAAATTTATATCTCCTAAAGCAGAAATTTTATACCTGTGGCTACTGAGAAATGTCCCACGGAGTCTCATTCAGCAATTCTGTATTTTCTTGGAATCAGCTAAATGATGCTCAGAGTAGGTGGCTGTGGAAGTGCAGGTTTAATCCATTAATATAGCACGTCTCATTGTTACATTTTCTATTACAAGCAAACACTGTTACTTTATAAAATATTAATTATGATGTAGTTTGGATCCAAAGATGGCAATATCCACATAGATACTGAAGAGTTTAAAATAGTTATCCTTAAAATTGATTTAAGTCCCACTCAAATTAACAAAATTAAGAAAATGAAGGCAAAGTATGGATCTATCCCAATAAACAAAAATCACACACATCATAATATAGAAAGTAAGACAAATGAGAAGACTGGGGCTAATATTTTCACATTTGCCTGAATTTGGAAGCTACAACACCATCAGGAACATCTGTGCTGTAAGCTAGACCGGGAGGTTGAAGAATCCTCCATAAAAAGGCTGTGGCAGATCTTTTTAAAAAATCCTGCCAAGAAAGCAATATGAAAATGTCCATGAAGTCATCAGGAATCAAGCTCAAGTTGAAGGCAATATTACCTTAGCCTATAAATATTAAGGAAAACATAGGTTTTAAAATTGTACTGGGCCCCATGTAAAATCCTCCACATTCCTTCATTTATTTTTGTCCATGTATTCTTTTTCTTGTGCTGGGAAAAGGTTTTATTGTTTTTGTCCCAAAATCAAAGCAAGTTTCTTTTCCCTGCTCTCCTTCCTTATTCTGTTTAAAAAAGGGGAGAGGAAAAAATCTGTCATTACCCCCATTTCCAGATTCCTGTTTGAAATTCGTGATTCAAGCCTGAGGACATTTAATAGCTGGCTGGATTAAATATAGCAGACTCCAGCCTCCATTCTCTTTGAAAAGACAGGTCTCGGGGTTGTGCCTAAATTCACAGGATGAAAACTGATCTACGATACATGTTTTAAGTTTAGATCTGAAGGGAGGGGGTGGTGTGGGGAGGAAAAGCCGCTCTGCTCTGGATCTGGTTTATATTGGTGTAAAGCCCTTGAAGTTGAAAGGTGCTTCAGGAAGCTCATGAAGAAGAAAAGAAAAGAGGGGAGGTGGTATGTTTGCTGGGGGAGAGATGCACCAGAGCAGCATAGCAGAAATATTTCATTAACTTGCGTTAACACATGGCTCAACATCCCTCCTCCCCTCATAAAAGAATGGAGGGAAAAGGAACCCAACATACCTGCCTATTGCCAGCTTTCTCCCCCCCCCCCACTCCCATAGTTAACCCTTTCTGGATTCAGCTACATTGTCTGCCCCAAGATTTTGCTGGCTCATTGAAGGATACAAAATACAAAACAAATTGAAGTAAAGGAAAAGTGATTTCTCTTTAGAAAAATATTTTGAGGTGCCCCTTATCTACTTCATTTGTATAACAACACTGAGAGATAGGTCAGATTGAGAAAGAGTTTGGTGTGAGCCTATCCCAATGTTTGGATTTGCATCATGTTAACCTACAGAGCCAGCTTGATGTAGTGATTAAGGCATCAGGCTAGAAATGGAAAGACCTTGGGCATGAAGACAGCTGGACGATCTTGGACCAATCATTCTTGCTCAGACTTAAGAAGGAGGCAATCTTCACAAAAACCTTGACAAGAAAACCTCACAGATTAGTCCAGGTAGATTCTGAAAACCCAACATGATTGAACAGAGGAAGAAAAAAAAAAAACCCACACTATGATTTACTCATATCACCCAATTTTGAGAAGGCATCTAACTGAGCCCATACATTAACTACATGGGCTGAATTAATCTAATAGGCTGAGATAAAATGTGGTCAAACTGCGGTTCAATTCAAACTTAACTAATGAGATTTTCTGCCTAAAGGATATTAGGTTGAAAAAAGTTCTAGAAGATGCTGGAATCCTCCAAATATATTGATGTTATCTCTCATAAAAGTCTGACAAAACAGTATTAAATTATCCTGGCTTGGGATGATGGGCATTGAAATTTAATGAAACTGGAAGGCAAGCTAATCCAAAGTAATCTGGTTTAAAGTGTAAATATTTCAAAACCATTGTTTAGAAGTTAAATCTTTGAAACTTTGCAGTAAAATTGGCTAATCACAAATATAGAATATTTTTTTAACTTAAAATTGTCCACCACATCTAAATGCTTGCATTTTTCTGGCAAAAATAGAACTGAAGGTAACAAAAAGTGGAAACAATGGGGAGGGGTACCTCTCTTGTGCTGGCCTGGATTATTAGCAGTTGTAGTCCAACACATCTGGACAGCACCAACTTTGGGAAGAGCTCCTTGGTTTCTATTTTATCACACACACACACACACACACACACACACACACACACACACCAAAACGTCTTTCACATCTGTTGCCATGATCAAAGGACACTGGAAAAAGAATCATTTTAAGGGGAAAATGTGACATTATGGGATCTTATATGTGCTTGATCAGAAAGCAATGCTTTTGAATGAACCCCTAGTTTAATTGGTATGCAGAACTATGACAACAAGTATGCCCAAATACACTGGATTCATACAACTCTGTGAGCTATGGTCTGCATAATAATTTTTACAGATTAAACCAAGACTGGCTAAGTTCACTAACATTTAACTCATAAGCAAGCAAGCTATACTTTGGTTTAGACTACTATTAAATTAGGTTATAGTGCTATGGCACCTTAAAGGTTGACTGATAAGTTTCTATTATGACAGAATGGGGGATTTAAGAAAAAAGCTGCAAGTGGAAATGTATTTCTGTTGTGTTCCATTTGTGTTTCTTGGGTATACTATTATTAACTATGAAAAAGTCTACAAGGTTCCTGAATATCCTTGTGATGTCCATTTTTAAAATTGTAAATTATATAAAATAATAAGTCTGGAAGTGACTGGCTAGGTAATCTAACACAAATAAAGAACATTTAAATGAGAAGACTGAAGAAGTGGTAGGGAAAAAAAAAGAATTAGAAAAGGAAGCGTCTTTCTTTCCTGAATAAGATATGTAGAAATAATTACTTCTGCTATAGCCAGTTCTAGAAGGAAATTTTATCAAGGCACTTTGAATGCTTAATGGCTTTTAATAGTTGTTATCTAAAAGCTTGGTTACACAACATAAAAGTGAAATAGTGCTTGGCTACCTGGTGGCTCAGTATAAACCAACCTTATTTTTGATCCAGTGAGTTATGATTCAGTACGTTTATGACCATGAGTTGTGACATCCCGGACTCAGTTAATTCAGCATAACATATTCAAATAACCATAAATACACCCCGCCAACATCACTTCAGAGTAGGACTCATCCCTGAAAACAATAAGTCCAAAAGAAAAAAAAGAAATACAAACTTTACTCCCGAATCCCTCCTGAACATTGAAAAATCTAGGTGTCGCAGGGAAATTCACTGACTCAGGGGTAGGGGAGGAGCTTATTCCCAACATTCTGGCCGCAAATTTAAAATCAACTGATTGAAAAGAAGGGGGAGAGAAACCGGAAGCCCAATGTAGGGCTACAAAATAAGGGATACACAAATAAGAACGACCTTGAGATAGTAGCAACGAAATACAGAATACTTTAACTCTCTGCGCCCACCTCCTGAACGTGGAGACCTCTGTGTCCAGATCTCGGGAGACCGAGTTCTTGAAAGAGACCCTCAAGGATCGATTCTTTCATAGCGTCTGTAGTCCCACGCGTCTACGCTCGCCAGAGCTCACTCCTTGAAAAATTAGCCTATCACAGTTTAGGCCAACGCAGCGCTAGCCCTGAAACCCGAAAATGGGGTTAATGCTACAAAACCTGCTGTAAACGAACTAATCGAAAAAGATTCGGAGTTGTACTGACTCTTTATTAACTCGTGTAGTGGAAATCGTATAAGTCTTGACAGCAGAAGAGCAAGTCAGCGGGAGACGAGAAAAAGTTGATAGAATTTAAGCAAAGTGTCCGACCAAGTAGGGACTGACAGAAGCCAGTTTCTCTTTCGCTGCTTTGTGATCGGGCAGGAGAATCTCTCTTTTTACGCCCATGTCACTCATTTTGTCACTCAAGATTATTCCTCATGTGGATCATTCATAAAACATTCATATGGAGCTTTAGTAATCATCGTGGTTGATTTTGCAGGGAAGCAAGAAAAACAAAAAATGGGACATACTTGTACTGGAATGTCAGTCATTCAACACAGCAATTATACAATGCTAAGAACACCAAAGGGTCTCCTTTTTTAGCCCTGAACCAACAGATTTTATCAGAACTTTAGAGTACATCGGGAGGAGACCCACTCCTCCCCTTTTTGGTTAATAGGCAAAAAAAAATTCTACCTCTTCTCAGAAAAGGAAAGCTTGTTAGGTCCCCTCACAAAAAGGTCAGAAGGTCCCATTTCTCTCTGTAGTAAGACTCGCTGGTTTTGAAGAAGTTAACTTTGCAAAAAGCATGTTATGGATTAGGATTGCCGCCTCGTTTTAATTTCCCGATGAGGTATCAATTATAATTTCTCTGTGTGTGAAAAGTGCCTTTTTGTCAACCGCAGGAATCCAGGAGAAGAGAGGAATAGAGAGGCGACGTCGACTGGGGGGGAGGTTTGCTGAGCTCAAGCACTCAGCCTCTATATACTGAATATACTTCTCTAGTCGGACATATCCAAATAGTTGCCGCGGTTGCCGGGGCTGTTCGGAAAAGCCACCTTCTCCAAGGGTTTCAAGCCCTCTAACTTTTCTCCTGGCTTTCTAAGAACCAGCAAAAAAACAGCGGAGTAAGTGTGTGGTTGTTTCCAGGCCCACCCGCTGATTTCCCGGAGGGAGTAGACCACAGTCTTAATATCGCCAAGGTCAACAATCTGGAACTCCTAGAATACAAGAAATCTATGGGAGGTCCACACAAATCCCTTCCCCCTCCTTTCTCATTCAAAAAGCTGCTGAACCTTAAAAGGGATTAAGGTGCTGATTGGTTGATTGGTTGATTGATTGATTGATTGATTGATTGATTAGGAGTTTTGGACTCCTAGCGACCACATGGATAGATTTTCTCCATGATCTATCCCTATCCTGTTTTTTCAGGTGCACTCATCACCACTGTAACTGATTCCACCTTGCTGC